CAGTGTCTCCCCCACCGTCTGCTGACCTTCCTGTCTACGGTCCTGTGTTCCCGCCGCCAGACTCGTCTCCGGCTCGTCTCCTCCTCATTCCCCTCCTGTGTCCCCTCCGCTGTCCCCTGACCCTACACCTCCGTCCCACGTTTGGTCTGGCCGTCCCTCCCGTGCTCGTCCTGTCTCTCCTGTCCTGCGCTCCCACCCTATGTTGCTCCATTCCCACTCGTCTCGTCCTCCCCTCCTCCCGTCCCCTCCTCCCTCGTCGCTTGCTGTTGCACCTCCTCCATTCTCTGACTACCTCCGTGCCGCTCTTCTCCTTGTCCCTCGGGTCCTTGCCTCTCTTATTACCGACCATTCTGTTCCTGTCTCGCGCCTTGACCCGCTTGTCGCTGCTGTCGCTGACTTCACCTCTATCCGCCGCCTTGACTACGCTACCGCTCTGGTCTCGGACCTTGCCCATCCTCCGTCCGTCGGGGGTGCTCCTGCCCTTGGCAGTGACGTCCTAGAGGACAGGCAGTACGAGCTTGCTTTCCTTTCCGAGGCTGCTCCCCATCTCTGCTCCATGCTGTTAGTCCCTGAGGGTGACCTAGACGCCTTCGATATCCCGACCCCTCGCACCTACGCTGAGGCCACCTCGGGACCTTGGGCCTCTCAGTGGATAGCTGACATGGAGCAGGAGATGGCATCTTGGAGGTCCACCGGCACTTACGTCGACGCAGTTCCCCCGCCTGGGGTGAACGTAGTCGATGGTCGGTGGCTCTTCAAGGTGAAGCGCCCCCCCGGAGAGCCGCCTGTCTTCAAGGCGCGCTACGTGGCCAGAGGCGTCAGTCAGCGCGAGGGGGTTGACTTCTTCCAGACCTTCGCCGCGACCCCGAAGATGACTACTCTTCGGGCGCTGCTACACGTAGCAGCACAGCGCGACTACGAGCTTCACTCCCTCGACTTCTCTACTGCCTTTCTTCAGGGCAACCTACACGAGCAAGTCTACCTGCGCCGACCACAAGGCTTCACTGGTACCTTCCCCCCTGGGACCCAGTGGCTTCTCAGGCGCCCGGTCTATGGCCTGCGTCAGTCTCCCCACGAGTGGCACGACACGCTGTGTGCCACATTAGCAGACCTGCAGTTCTTTCCGTCCTTTGGTGACCCCTCACTGTTTGTGCGTTCCGGCCAGACTCCGTTCTATATCCTTGTCTAAGTAGACGACCTGGTTTTCGCTACTGCTGACAGGGACGCACTGGCCTCTGTGAAGGCCGAGCTTCTGAAGAGACACACCTGCACTGACCTTGGAGAGCTGCGTCGCTATCTTGGCCTGCAGATCTCTAGGGACAGAGCAGCACGCACCATCACTCTGACACAGTCACACTTGGTGCGTTAGGTCCTTCAGAGGTTCGGTCTTCAGTTCTCCTCCGCACAGCCCACACCTCTACCTGTAGACCATGGGCTCTCCGCTCCCGTTCTTGAGGAGCCAGTAGAGCCCAGCGGCCCCTACGCAGAGCTGGTGGGTTGCCTCATGTACCTGATGACTTGCACTCGCCCAGATCTCGCATACCCTCTCAGCATCCTGGCTCGCTTTGTGGCTACCGGCAGACACCGACCTCAGCACTTTACTGCCGCTAAGAGGGTTTTGCGTTATCTTGCTAGTACATCGGGCATGGGGTTAGTGCTAGGAGGACGCAGGCCAGTGGTCCTTACTGGGCACACAGAAGCTTCTTCGGCAGACGACTCTGAGACCCTCAGGTCGTCGCAGGGCTACTATTTTAGCCTTGGTTCGGGTGCTATCTCTTGGAGATCCACTCGCTCGTCGTCTGTTGCTCAGTCCAACTGTGAGGCTGAGATCTACACTGGTGCCATGGCGGCACAGAAGCTCCGCTGGCTGACCTTCTTGCTCACAGACTTAGGTGAGCGGCCTAGCTTTGCCCCGGTCCTGTACGCTGACAACAGGGCCATGATACTCCTGTGTCAGGAGCCTCGGCTTGAGGTCAGAGCGAAGCATATCCAGCTGCGGTACTTCCTGTTGCGCGAGTTACAGTAGCGTTGCTAGGCCCGCGTAGTTCACTTGGCCTCAGGTGCCAACACAGCTGATATCTTTACTAAGGCGCTTGCGCCTAAAGATCATCAGTGGCACTGTGTACAGCTTGGTCTTGTTCCTGTAGCTATTCACCTGTTAGGACCCTGATTGTGTACTCTCTATTATATATACCTGTCAGACTGGCCTTGTGGCCTTACCTCCAGTGGCTGGACTAGTAGTGCCACCCTGGCTTGCTTTAGTCTTGTTTGTACTCTTGCTGACTGGTCTTCAGACCCCTGCCTCAGTGGTTGGACTAGTAGTGCCACCTTGAGCTGTTTGCTTCTTGCTTAGCTTCACCCCTTGTCTAGCCTAGGGGGTGTGTCAACTTATACATATTAGCTATGTAGAAGTTATAGGCTAGACTGGGGTATGCTTCTACTGAGTACAACCAACTAGTATTTGTTCTAGGTTTCTCCTTCTAGTTCCATTATTCAGTTCTTACTTTAACACATGTTACAATCTCGATTTTGAAACACATTTCGACAGTTGGGTGTACACCCATCCGTCGGCAAATTTCGGGTCAATGATTTCCCAAGGCGCAACAACGACATACAACGGAGCCGCGCAGTTCAAGGGTCTCGCGAAGCCAGTTGCGGAACTGCTGTCCGTTTCGCAACGTGTCTGACAGATATTTAGCGCCCTGTAGCGTGCAACAATTGCCACTTGAGCGTCCACGTCTTGTGCAACCATTGCCACTTGAGCGTCACGGCGAATGCGACACGGATCCGGGAGCATCTTTTCGGCACGCCGGCATCCAAATTCTGGAACATTGCTGAGTGCAATTTGCGAAGAATCTCCGCGTCAACAGTCAAAGCTCGACGACCACGGCCATGGTCTGCGGATCAACAGCCACCGTTGGGGGACCGGCAAGCAAGCGCAGCCGCAACCGCGATATCCGTGGCATGGTGGACAAGGCGGGTCGCGATGCCCTCGATCTCCTATGGGCGACGGCGGTGGTCGAGAACGACTTGGCCTCTCAGATTTCCGCGAAAGTATGCTTCAACCAAGTGCATTCCATGCGACTTTTGCTTTTACAACACCCCGACTCCCCCTCTTCACTGTCTCCATCCCTACCGTGCATCGCCATAAGTATTTCTCCCCTTATTCGCCATACTTAGTTCTTTTGCCATCCCCGCTCCCCCTCCGCCCCTCAAACAGCTCACCCTCCATGCAAGCCTTTGTCGAGGGGGTTGTGGCGTATGACAAGGAGTACAACTTGCCGAGCGCCTACTCGGTCTCCCACCCGCTCCTCGCTAAGCTTAAGGCCGAGACCGAGACCCTCATGCAGCCCCTCAAGGACTCATGGGCGTCGACCGGTTGCTCCCTATCCATGGACGGGTGGTCGGACCTGAAGAGCCGCGGCCTTGTTTTGTATCATAGCCATGGATGACACCGCGCCCGTAGTGGTGGACGTGGTTGACACAAAGACGAGCAAGAAAACGGGTGCCTACCTTGCAACACTCATTGGGGAGGCGATTTGTAAGGTGTGTCACACTCGCATTGTCCAAGTGGTGATGGACAACACGAGCACAATAAGAGGGCGGCCCTAGACCTTGGGGATGATATCCTTAAGTTTTTTTCTCCAATTGTATGGCACACTGCTTGGATCTCATGTTGGAAGACCTCGGGAGTATTGGGGTGATTAAGCGGGTCTTGCAACAAGCTGGTCAGGGGCCACTCGGTTTGGTACCCAAGTCATCATGGTGCAGCGGTTTTTGGAGGTAAAGAAGTAGTTGAACAGCATGGTCATCTCCGAGGAGTGGTTGGATGTGCCCGCCGCGAAAACCAAGGAGGGGCAGTGCATCGCCAAGCTTCTCCTCGATGAGGCATTTTGGGGCTCAGTGGAAGCGGTCCTGAAATTGATGACCCCGGTGTACGAGGTCCTCCGGGCAACGGACAAGCGGACTCACCTCATAGGGCGGATTTATGGGATGATGCTCGACACCACCATGAAGACCAACGTAACGGCCGAGGCTGCAGGTTTGTTCCCCACCCCCCTCCGCCCTCCAAACCGAGCGTTGTCCTCGCCTCCCCTTGACTCTCTTGGTTGATTTTCCAACCCTCCCAATACCCCCCACTCAGCCGGGCCATTTGTGCCTTGTGCTTGATTGGGCAGCCACATTTTTTGTGCGACGGACGGGCTTGCTCTTGGCCAAGGACAAGGCCTCGTTCTTGGCCAAGGTAAGGTGGATTATAGCTCGGCGTTGGGACGCCCAGCTACATAACCTGTTGCACGTCGTCGGATGGCTCCTTAACCCGGCCAATCAGTTTGTTGAGGAGGTTCGGGGCGACGAGGAGATCGGGAAGGGGATGAGAAGGTGATCGACAAATGGGAGACGGATATGCAGCGCCACACCCTCATCCACGCCCAACGCGCCCACTTCCATAGTGGGGAGGGGAGCTTGGGGGGCAAGGATGCTCGGTGGGCAACTTCCGCTCTTGTGGAGAGCGGGAAGCTCTCCGAGGCAGAGTAGTGGACCATCTTTGGGGGGGAAGTCCGAGCGCTGCAGGATCTGGCGGTCCGGATCCTTTCCCAATCAACAACGGCATCAGAGGTAGAGCGTGCATGGTCGGCTTTCAGCCGGGTGCAGCGGCAGGATCGTAACCAGCTGAAATCCACCACCATGATCGACGTCACGGTGATGGAATTCAGCCGGCGATCCAGAGCTGCATTTGACAGGAAGCAAGTGGCCCGAAACTGCCTTTACAAACACCTCGGGGCGGGCATGGTGGAGGAAGGGAGCGCACCTCACCCCCCCCTTGCTTCAGAGGGAGAAGGGGTGGGGGAAGAGGAGGTGATGGAGGAAGAGGAGGGTGCTGGGGAGTGCAGCATTGATGGGCCTCCTTTGGGAGCAGTGGCGAGAAGAAGTGCAAGAGGAAGGTAGGAAACGGGAAGGGGGGGAAGAAAAACAGTGGTTCCCATAAGGGGAAGGGTAAGCTTACCGTGGGAGAGGAGGAATGGGCAGCAAAGAGTGCACGCAACGGCGGACGCGAGGAGGAGGAGGAGGAGAGCCGCGGGCCATGGGATTTCAGCGGGGAAGAGGGTGAGGGGGAGGGGGGGGGGAAGGAGGAGGAGGAGAAGGAGGAGGAGGAGGAGGAGGAGGAGGAGGAGGAGGAGGAGGAGGAGGAGGAGGAGGAGGAGGAGGAGGAGGAGGAGGAGGAGGACGAGGAGGAGGGGGGGGGCGAGGAGGGGGAGGAGGAGGAGGAGGAGGTGGAGGAGGAGGACGAGGAGGAGTAGCAGTAGAAGGAAGAATGCCCATATGCCCTTCTGCTTTCATGCACACACGCATGCACGCACGCACGCCTATCCACCCACACGCCCTTCTGCCTGCCCCCACACATGCACGCACACACGCTCGACTACCCGCCCGCCTCCCCCCCTCCCCCCCCACGCATGCACACACGCACTCATACACGCATGAAAGTACGCGATGACAAACAACACAGCATCAAACACACAAGCGAGATAATTGTGATTGCGAAAATGTTAAGGAGAAGAAGAAGAGAGGTACACCTAGCTGAAGCGAATCTCACCTACAGTTTGTATTGGTGGTATGCTCGCTCACCTGCAGAAATGGCGGAACGATGAGGCAGCGTGCATTACGCCAGCGTTCTCGACGCCAGCCCACATGGCGCAAGCGCGCTCGACGCCAGTGCACTCGACACCAGTGCACACGACGCCAGTGCACACAACGCCCGCATGCTCGGCAACAAAGCGCTCGGCGCCAGCGTGCTCGGTGACAGACCGCTCAGCGCCAACGCGCATGGCACCAGCGCTTAGGGCGCCCTCGCGCTCGCCGCCAGAGCGCTCGGTGCCAGCACGCATAGCGCCCATGTGCTCGATGCCAGTGCACACAGCACTAGCTCGCACGGCGCCAGAACACTTGGTGCCAGTGCATGCTGGCGCTAGCGTGCAGGGCGCCAGCACACTTGACAATAGAGTGCTCGGCGCCAATGTGCACGGTGCCAGCCCGCACGGTGCCAAAGCGCTCGGCGCCAGCGTGGTCGGCGCCAGCGCGCTTGGCACCAGAGCGCTCAGCGCCAGAGCGCTCGGCGCCAGAGCACTCGGCGCCAGCGCAGTCGGCGCCACTGCGTGCTGGCGCTAGTGTGCAAGGCGCCAGAGTGCCAGCGCTAGCGCCAACACCATGTGTGGCACCTACATGGCGCCAGCAGCATGACGCTAGCTGCTAGATTTCGCCAGCAGCATGGCGCTCGTAGTTAGGTCGCCAAAGACTAGAATACTAGCAGCTGGGTCGAGGTCGTGGTTGGGAGGGAGACTATCGAGGAGAGATGTGGTTGAGCTCCGTTGGAAGTTGGAGAGATGTGGTGGTTGGGAGATGTTCACCTTTCAACCACAACGAGCTATCCATAAAATTCAATAACATTTAAACATTTCGTTTCCCTGAAGACATTGAGATTAGTGAAGTATATAAACTTAGATCTTCATCTACAAATATTTAGATAACTAACTACGCAACCCCTCCGACGTTTTTCGGCGATGCTTGTTTTTTCCCTCCGTGCCTGCACGCCATGGAGCAGGCTGACCTCGATGAGGGCGTAGATGAGGCCGATAATGACAAAGAAGTAGAAGAAGAATATTGGTGTGCCAAGAAATTTCGCGATGGTCACGCCGCGCTAGAATTCCTGCAATAGTCTGATGCCTCCGACCGTAGCCCTGCGAAGAAGCCTCGTGACGCTGCCCCTGCTGATGACGATGCACTTGTTCCCGACGTAGCGGACAAGAAGGCTGCGGATGCAAGTCCCCTGCCCGCTGCTTCAGCCCCTGTCGCCGACACCACGCCGTCGGTGACGGTGGCGAAGAGGTTCCGCTACAGGTAGGTGATTTTACCGTACGCCTCCACATCGACCTGCCAGGATCTGCTTGAGCCTGTGCCAAGCCCCTCTACACCTGCGGATACACCAGAATCGTCTAGAGGCAAGTCCACTGCTAGAACAAGCAAGGACATTTATGCTGAGGCACATGAGCGTTTCAAATCTTACTGGCTCATGCTCTTGAAAACTAACGATTGGCTCCCGGCCTTCAAGAGCATTGTATGCGCAGTGCGTGCAGGACCTGCAAGGCGTACCGGCAAATCAGGCAAGGGAGCTACCGACGTGCAGACCCAATCGTTCAAGAAGCACGCCGGGACGCAGAAGCATCACCTCGCCATGTCCAAGCAGGACAATCTCCTGCAAATGGCGTCGAACCAGCAGCTGATTGACATGCATCCCCGCGCGGCCGACGAAGAGAAAGAGCGAGTCATTGCGCTGCTCGATTCCCTCTTCTTCTGCACCAAGTGTAACGAACCCATGGAAACATGGATTCTTTTGGTGCGCTACCTCTCATCGCACGGTTCCAAGGGCTTCCCAAAGTCCGCTTACGGCATATACTACAACTGGTAAGAACTCCAGTGACTCTGAAATTCTCTCTGTCACGTCATTACATAGCAAACTTACACCGAGTTGGCCTGTGCGTGTCGTGTAACAGGTACGGCTTCGGCGAGCTGACAAAAGTGTCAGCAACGTGGCTGCAGACGACTCAAATTTAATGTCTCCTGGCCAGCCCCTACATCGGCCCGAGCCTCGAAGAAAGCACCAATTGCTGTCGTGACAAGCACATGATCGTGTTTGCCACGTTCATCCGGGAAGGGCGGCTTGTAGCCGAGTACCTGGCTCTGCTGATAGTGGATAAGGCGGATGTGGCATCGCTTCTTGCTCTCTTGCTGACCCATCTGCAGCCGATCGGCATCGACCTCGGCCGCATCTGTGGCTTATGCATTGACGGCGCTGCCGTCATGATGGGATCTCGCCCTAGACTCGTGGCCCGCCTTTGTCTTCGCGTTCCACACCTCTTCTCTTCTCATTGCATTACCCATCAGCTAGTTCGACATCTGTTTGCTGCGTTCATGTCATGTATTTGCTTCTTGGTTTGTTTATGATGCCAATCCTTAATTTGCTTCTTGGTTTGCATCTCATCTCCCTATCCCACGCAGAGAGGCGCAGGCGGCGAAGGCGGCTACCGAGGAGATCCAGGTCTTCAACATGGTCGACAACGTCATTTGGGAGATCGCTGAGCTCCTCGGTCGCTCCAACCCTTGGCATCAACGGTTCCTGGAGCTCCAGAGCATGTTCATGTTGACGAACCTCAAGCTCCAGGGCATCCACAACATCCGCTGGCTGTCGCGCAGGGGTGCGGTCATCCACGTTGTCGAGGTCCTACCGGCCGTCGCGGTCATGTTGCAAGAGTACGACGCCAAGCTGTACGCGCTCGTCACCAGTCACCACTTCTGGCTCCTTCTGATGTTCCTTGCCAATGTGCTGGAGCTACTGAACGTGCTCAATAGGATCTTCCAGCAGCGGGAGGTAAACTTGTTTAATGCTTGTAATTGCATGCTTGTCGATGTCGTTGCCCCGTCTCTGTCGATTGACCCTTCACCATCTATCAGTGATGCCCTACCTCTCCTTGCCTCCCTACCCACCAGCTGGATTACGCGACGGTGCACGCGCAGATCATCCGCACGACCTCACTGCTGGAGAGCCGCTACGTGGACTACGGAGACGACTTCACCGGCGGGCCCAACGATTGACTGACGCGGTTCTTCGCCAAGCACGGGCCCGACAAGTCCAGGCTAGTGACCAGTGGAGGGGATCGACTCCGACGGCCAGCCTTCACGGTTCACCTTCGAGCTGCACGAAGAGCCCCTAAAGGCCTGCCCGGGGCCCAACGACCACGATGGGAGTGTCGTGGCGTGCATGGCTTTGGCGGAGGGGCTGGTCCGCAACCTCAATGTGCGCCTAGGCGATTTGCGGCAGCTGTCGGGAATGCGCATGTTCAGCGTCAACACATGGCCACCCAACTGGGACCGACAGGCACAAAGGACACAGTGCCTCGAGAGGTTCGAGTCGCTCGTGGTCATATTCCGCGCTGAAGACAGGGACGAGATTCTGCCAGGTAAATCACCGTCTACTCTCCTTCCATTATCCCTTAGGCAATATATCAATTAAACAAAACAGCTTACATTTACAAGCACTCGGCTGTTTCCGATAGCCCAACCCTTCTCCCTCTCCTTGTGTGCCCTTGTCTGAGCAACCAAAGACAAGCGCAAAGCCTAGAGCGAGCTCCGCAACTTCGTCCCCGTCCTTGCTGCGCTTCCCAAGGCGGACAGGACATTCCACGCAGGGCTGAGCGCCATGCTCAAGACGCAGGACTGGAGGAACAGCTACTTCAACTTGGTCAACTTGTGGGTGGTGGTGGTTGTCCTTCCCTTGAGCACGGTCGAGTGCGAGCGCGGGATCTCCCGCCAGAACGTCATCAAGACCTGGTTGCGGGGGGCTCTTTAGGTTACTAGTGTCACAGGATCGAATGTGTCGAGGAAAGGTTGTACTATCGATCAGTACAAGGCGCTTTTATACTTCCAAAGTACATCAGGTAACCAGGTTTATCTTATCCTAAGGGAATAGACCCTTCTAGAAGATAGAATCACCCTGCGTATAGCCACGCGAGGCTATTGGCTTTAAGGGATTACGGCAGGATTACGCCAGATAGCGCACCAGTACATCCCAAGCCTGATCGGTGATATAACTATAATAGCAGGATAAACCAAAGGTTAATGGAAAATGGAGAATAGGAAACCAAATGAGATGAGATAAAAAGAGGAAGGAAATAAGAAAAGGGACAAGTGGTATAACGGGGTCGTACTCTCACACTTCCCCCCCTCAAAGCTGGGTGGTAGAAGTAACACCCTGCTTGACAAGGTAGTCATGCAGAGGACGACGGGCGTTACCCATGTCGGACTCAGGGACCCAGCTGTCCTCAGAAGGATCATAACCCTTCCAACGGATGAGAAGCTCCACGGCGCCATTCCGACGTCGGCGGTGTGCAAGCACGGACTCGACCTCGTACTCGGGTTCATTCTGGACGAGGACGGGTGGCGGCGGCGGCTGTTGGCGTCCGACGAAGATCGTGTTCGGATCCCGATAGGGCTTCAGAAGTTGGACATGGAAGGCATTGTGAATCTTCCAGGTGGCTGGCAGACGCAAGCGGAAGGTAACAGGAGTAACCTGTGCTTCAACGAGAAAAGGCCCACAGAAGCAAGGTCGCAGTTTAGATGGGAGGTGGCTGATGTCCAGGTTGCGTGTGTCAAGAAGCACCTAGTCTCCCACCGTGATGGTGTGGTTGTTGCGATGGCGATCGGCTTGGCGTTTCTGTTGCTGCTGAATGTCAATGAGGCGCTTGTGGGTCCGATCCCAAAGCTGATGCATG